TTGGGACCGTGAACTCCCGTGCTTAAAGGTCAATGGAATACGCATATTAGCAGTGCCCATAGATTGATATACTTGAGAACTTTTCCACTTATTTGTTTCATATCCTTTTTTGAGTCAAAATTGTGGAAAGGAGCAAAAAAAACTCTTGCTGGAAAAGTTGACTTCTTTCAAGGGACGTAAATCGGTTGTTTTTCATTTTACATTTCACATGACGGAACTAAATTAAACGTTGAAACCGCTTTTGACTTTTGATGGGGTCGCGTGTTAATCGCTTTACCACCATGGACCGATTTGCTATTATTTAATGCGAGGCTGTAAGCACGCATCTCCAGTGATTGTTAAGCGCAGGTACAACTAGTGCCTGAGGTTCAAGGTTTTGCAAAGCATTTACTTTTTTATGTAGAGTTATTACAACATAACATTGCTATGAAAGCTGAAATTTAAAAAAATTCTTGTGTCTTGAACTAAAAGTTATCATTCTTGCAGTACCATTTATAATGTTGCTACTTGTCGTTGTATACCTCTTTCTTAATAAAACCATTCACCGTGAAACTTTTCAAATGCTCAGAATCGAAATGATCACAATCGACGGTGGCGCAAAGATCTGGAAACACTGAAACGAAGGCCCCGCGCATTGGAGGTTAAAAAGATGAATCAATTTTTTTTGCTCTGATTAGACTGAGTTGTGGATTATCAATGTGAATTATTTTATTGATGAATTAGCGCAAGTTGACAAAGAGTTTTTTCTGGGTTATTACCCAGCACACAATCTTTCTCTTCAAAGGATTTCTGCCCGCTTGTCCGCGAGGGCACGTGAAGTGCCCGTAGGTGGTGGATAGGGAAATTAGACGGGAAACCAAAAGGGCAATGTGCTTTACAGCACAAGTGGTTTCAAGGATGGATTCTTTACCACTACAGCGCCAACCTGACAGAACTTCACAACGATCATTCAAATTGGTCAAAAGTCTGCAATCAAGCTGTTGGGAAGTAAATGGCAGGCGATTATTAGTCTCCCCCAAAAAAAACTTCTCCTGTTTCTCGGGAACACATTCGCATGCAACCATGAGTACCCTGTCTCTAAGATGATAAAAATGGGCCTCTTTTTCCTGACTCCAAAAGAGCTCACGGTACGGCAGCGTCGAATAGGACTAACACGGCGAGGGTGCAAAAATCTCAAGACCAAAGTAAGCTTTCAAAATCGAGACGATCTAAATTGACGATCTGTACTTATAACACACGGAAACTGGCGAACGATTCCTCTACAGAAGATCTATCAATAAAGGCAAATTAGGTAAGGCAGGGCGCCACCGGCTTCGCGGAGACGAGAAGACGCCATCCAATTCACACTGTCAACAACACTGGAGAAGAGGTGATTTTTGAAACATGCGTTTGCAGAGGCGTAGGCGGGATGGCGTTTTTGTCAAAATAAGTTTGACCGTGAGCATCACTTCATTTGAACAGACAACACGGATCGGACGATTACGATTGAAACGACGTGGATCAGTGCCAGCTTTGACAATCTACGTTGCTTACTCACCAACCTCAAGCTATAACGAATTCACAGTCGAAATGTTCTATATGACCTCGAAAAGTTTCCAGACAGGACCATATTTGAGGTCATTAATGAAGATTTCAGCGCGAAAATTGGACCTAAAGACACCTGGAAATTGTCACATTGGGATCCTCAGACTTGAGTGGAGCGAATAGCTTGAAAGGTTGTCTGAGTTTGCCATGACGTCCAAGACCATTCATGGCAACTCACAGTTCGGAAAGCTCGCTCTCAGCAATGAACGCAAGAGTCTTCCAGTGGAGAACACCGTAATAAAGTGCACCATGTCATAGTAAATTGAAAGTTTTGCCTTACCAATAGTGTTGCTATTCCTATATTCTACCTGGTTCGAAATCATCGTCCTCTTCGCACAACGCTCTATTTTTCGCTGGTAGTAAAAAGCAGCCAAATACAAACAAGAAATTACCAAAACTACAATAAATTGGGATCTATTGAATTACTAGTCTGCCCTCGGGAGGATATCGTCTTTAACTATACTGATGAGTAATACGATAGGTCTATCCGTCATCTTCACTTTACCGTTATGAAAGCTGAGAGTCCCAATGTCACCAAGAAGCGCTTGTCTTTACAAACACTCACTAATGTGGACCGCACAAGCCGCAGGCAACCGCAACTTCACGTCCGCTCTTTGTGTAGAGAAACGATGGAAGAAAATTACAAAGAGAGAAGAGCAGCATACATGGTTGAAACAGCAGAAGCTGGGAAGAGCATCCGCAAAACCTAACAAAATCTCGCCAATTACAAAGCCAAAAAATTGCACTCCGACACCTTGACGGAAACTTACATTTTCTAAGAAGGGAAATGAAGAAAATCATGCACAACTAATGCTTAGATCTCTTCGTTATACACGTTCTCTCTCTTGACATGAATTAAATGGGCATGAATTGTCATTCCATCATTTATCACTTCCGAGATCCGACGCACTACTTGGCTTAGACAGGATATGACCAGAACATCTAAAACCCTCCCGCTAGTTCTCAACAACACATTGGCTCGGCTCTTCGCTCGTTACCTGTCCGAATGCAAGGTTCACAGTCACTGAAAAACCAACAAGACTATGATATTGTTCAAAATGGTGACCTTCACGATACAAAATTATGGCTTAATCTGTTCACTGTCTGTAGTTTATAAACTATTCATTCGCTTCATCTTGAGTAGGACTCAGAGAAAACTGAACAGGGGAAATCCTTGCGAACAAGCAGGGTGTCGAAAAGGGTTCAGTACTTTAGAGGACATCCACACAATCACAAAACTCATTGATGTCCCAAGACCTCGACATGCTCCAATATAATTCCTGATTTTCTTCTATAAGCCAACCACTAGGTGTTACATCAAACGTCATTTGACAGCTGACGTTTCGGCAGTTCGCCTTCCTCAGAGCCTGAAAAAGTCAAATTGTCCGCAATCCAATCAGTCAAACACCCTATTACGAGCATATGTAATCTCCTTCCGGTGATCTCCGCTTGAATCATTCAATGAAACACATATAAAAAGCGGTGAGTATGTTGAGAGTTGAATTTGTGCTTAATGCGATTGAAATCTAGGTCTGGTGATTTTTAAGGAGTAGTGAAAAAGGCTTTTGACTAGGTGGAATCGGATGCCGCTATAGAAGCTCTGGACAACCGCGGCATCCTTCAGTGCAGAGCGATTCTTTCTGAGCTAAATTAAGATTTTACAAGAAAGTTATCACCTTTCTTCATAATACTTCTGCCGACGTATGGATAAGGGTTCGACAAAAAAAACCATCTCGCCAATATTTTTATTGCCACCCTCCAAAATGTCATACAAACATCATACTGCGACAACATGGGAGTGATTATCTACGGTTGACAATTACCTCAAATTCTCTTCACTGGTGATGTCGTCCTCATAGCACCAAGCATCAGCCAGGAGGAACGAATTTTGATAATTTCGGCAACACCTGTGGAAGGATTGGTCTCCTACACAATCTAACAAAAACGGTGTTTATGAGGGAATAGGTTCTGAAAGTTCCATTCACTCTTAACGAAGAGGACAATTGCGAATGTTCCATTTACGTCGATATAGGTTTTGAAGCTAACTTTATGAACGACCTAGCTCCAGAGTTGAGCAGGAGGAAACGAGCGGCTTCGGGAACGTTTAACAACGTAGAGGACGTAGTGAAGAGGTCAAAGAACATACGACTCCGTGCCCACCTTTTCTACTCGACAATAATCCCTGCCCTGTCGTATGCAGCAGAAACTTGGTCGTTACATCAAGAGGACTGATGAACACTTGACGTTATTGATCGTGCAGTCAAGGGTCGATATTAGGAGTTTCTCGTACCTTGTGAATAAGAGAAAGGATCTGAAGTTCTGACCTACGTCAACGATCGAAAATTAAAGATACCGCTCCAAAAGCCAGGCAGATGAGCCAGACATGTAATGCGTTTTAATGACAGCGAATGGATACTCACTGGATTGCTCGAGATATCAAGCGCTACACAGGAAGACCACGGATGCGATAATCTGATTTCCTCAAGACAGCCCTCAAAGAACGATATAATACTCAACGAATTCCTTAAGCGAGGACGACCCACTGGGCTACACTTGCACACGATAGGAAAAATGGAATATCAGTTAAGCACAATAAAATCTCTGAGCGGCAGGTGATGCAGGTGATTATTCGGGGCCTTCGAATTATTAAGAGCCAAATAGATCTGGTTGTCGACAACCGATCATTCTTACATAGATATTGGTAGTCACACTGGGTCGAGTTCAATAGCCACACCGCTCTTTTTCTATCTCGCAATCGCTTATAAGTAAGAATTTTCATTGAATTTTTAGAAATAGAATCATAGTTGATTCGCAAAAAAAACTATTCGTTCTGAATGCTTTTATTGAGTATATTGTTTCTCCGCACTCTTCCCAATTAATGTCATTCTTTCAATTTCTTGATTCTAGTGCCTCGGCTTTAGAAGAACCTCCGCCAAATCACTCCGTAAGGGGCTTGGAATGCATGATGCAATCGACCACCTCGTGTATAATAGAGATAGAGCGCATAGCTGGCCTAACCCATGACTTAAGGTGTAACGCGATGTAGTAAATCAGCGTTCCCATACACAGCATTGCTATTATTCCAAACAAGTTTAATATTAACGTGGAGGTGCCGAAAGCAAGGAGAATTCTGTTTTTCTATCGCGGGATGGAACTGAAAAATTTGTTCTTACAGAGCGCTTTACCATGCTGTTCTACTAGAATTTGTTCAAATTTCTGGATATAAAATAAAAATATCAAAACACTGCTGAAAAGCAGTAAATTAAAGAACAGTCATAGATTATGCATATCCAAAGGCTAACGGCTTAAATGGGCTTGAAGCAGTAATGTGCTTATCAGACGAAGCCCGTCAAAGGTTATTCGCTGACAGTTTTGAGAATTCATGCTCAAGAAAGAGTGCTAGCGTAGTAGTGGTCGCGATGGTGTAGCGGTAGCACGCGCCCCCGACATGGGTGAAACGCAAGTTCAACTCCTGCCAGAGGTCGCATGTTTTGCATATCACGGAGCTTTTCTGTACACATAATAACTAAATTTTCAGTTTACCCAACCAGTCACCAGTTTTGTGCTCCTGTGCTAGGATCTATTCAATTCCTAATTACACGCATTCTTGTGAAGTGGAAAGTAATTTTTTTTTATTTTATTCTACACGACCCATCATCACAATGTTTGTTATTGTGCGGATACCAGTACTTCTAGCATTAGATTCGTTTTTCGCCTTCTTCTTGAATGATGTAGAATACTGGTCGAGCATGTCTGCTTGCAATCTCGAAGATAGCCTTGCAGTGCCGTTCCATGAGGCGTTGTTGTTGGCTGCCGGAGAATGTTGGAAGGAGGGGGTGGAACTTGGCTCCACTCGCGTCGCTACGAGCATTACAACCACCCGCCCAAAAGTAAACTCTTATGGCAACAAATTACTTTTAATAGTCATTCGATCAGAAATTTGCAATAAATTTTCGCAATTTTTTCCAAGAAGTTCAAGTGCTAGAAGGTGATGATGTAGCAGGATTCCGCCATCAAAAGGTTCAACATAGAACCTCCCGAAGTAAACAAGAAATTTGAAATGATATCACTGCAGCACACATAACACTGTGTGGAAGAACTACATAGATTCCAACTTGCTAAATAAAGATAAATTAGTGAAGGAATTAATCCCTCCTTTTTCCTTCCTTCGCTTCCCTTCTTCTAAAGCCCTAGAATTTCGCTTGAGAAAAACTCTCTGGACCTTTGCTTATAAAACAGGAGTCATATGAAGCCAAACAAGTCGAAAGCAGCATTCGAGCCAGTTAATAGCCCTACCAAACTTTTCTGAGCTGGAACGGCTTGACGTGTGAAGTAAAAAAAGTCAAACCAGGAGAGAAAATGGAGCGCAGAAATCCCGACCAATAAGATAGCCTAGTGGGACATGATTACTAACCATATGATTCACTTGTGCAATAGACTTCACATGCATCAAGATTATTAGGAATCATATCGAACATACCAGGGACCTTGGATGAAACCTAACCAGCAAGGTAGCCGGGATGCTGACGGAAATTCCACACTTTCTAGTTCAAATTTTTTTCTCTTTCGCTTACAAGAACTGCATCAAATTCCATTTCGGACAATCGAATTCAGTGGGGACTATAATTTCTTCTTCGAAGCAACTCCCTTCTGCTAACGAAGAAGAGTTTGCAAGAATGGATAGACGAATGCAATCCTGTTAGCGTTCGCCAATCAAAGAGTAGGCTCGATATGGAAAAATTTTCACTTAACTTTTGGCGCCGCCTCTTTACTAACCGTAGCACTTTTTTCAGCACTTTATTTGATCCGTCATCACAGTTTTTTTCCACTGTGCGGATCCCACTGCTTCAAGTATTCGAATCGTTTTTCGTCTTCGCCTTGAACGGTGTACAATACTGGTTGAGCGAGTCTTCTTTCAATTTCGAGGATAACCTTGCTGTAGCGTTCCATAAGACGTTTTGTTGACTACCGGAGAGAAGTGGAATATGAAGCTCTGCTCAGCGCGCCGTCACCAACAGCACAACCACTTGGCCACAGCGCCCCTTCATTTTATGTCTATTTCTGGACGTATACTAAAATTGGAACAATACTGTGGCTAGCTCAACACTGTTTAACAGTTCACAGTTTTTGTTTGGTAAGCCAAACACGAAATCGTTATAATACAAGTTATTCGCACAGCTGACGTCTCTGGCTTTACGCCTTTTTCAGAGCCCGGAAGGGTTAGGTTGTTTACAACTCGATCAGCTGAACACCTCTACTACTCCAAAAGTAAAAGATCACGAAACCTAGAATCTAATTGGATTAAGGGTAAAGCAACTATTCGCATACCATTCTTTATGAGTCACTCAAATGTCCAAGCGGAAACCAAGTGTGCAAAGTTCGCAGGGACTGTCATGGCCTCTCACATCAAAGTTACAGTCTTATGCACTGGTTCATGGCGCGTGATAACGAAAGATTTTTTGGTGCGGTTCAGATTCAGTTTCACCAAATTATCCGTAATGTCCGAGAATCTTACCCGTTGAGGTTTCATATTTCCTGTTTGAGGATGGTGATTTTTTTCTTCAAAATCCTCGAGTTATTACCGTATGTCCTGTATGAGCTTAGTGGGATGGATGTTAAGTTTAAACTTCCAATTGAATATTCCTTTAAATCAGACTAAGTAACTAGATAGGCCATTATTTTTATCTCCAGATAAATTGAAGAAACTGCCATCAATACACACAACATGTAGGCAAACTATTCGACTTGTTAAGTAGTCCTCGCCACATCACTTAAGGAGAAATACATCATTGGCGCCCATGGATATTTCAACATCTTCGCTGTAGCCCAAAAACCTGGTAAGCTTCATTTGAGAATAAGCTGGGTTCAACTAACACTGAAAATGTTAGTGAGGCCACAGATCCTCATGCCGTAGTTGTATATTCAAAACCGACCTGTGCCTGTGACAAAAGTTGCAAAGCAATGAAACGATTGACAGAAGTTCTCTTATTCAATAGAGTGAGAATTTTCAAAACCATCCAATTAGGCAGTTATCTAAAGTACTCAGTGATTGCACGATAGTGTATAAGATAAGAAATCAGAAATGAGATGGATGTGCAAGGCGTTGAGAAATCTCGAGATTCTCTTCTATGGTAACTCGGAGAGGTGAGCAATTGATGAACAACAACATTTAGGTTTCTCCACATGAGCCAGAAATCCCCGCAAATGCCTTGGAGGAGTTGACATGGTTCGAACCAATTCACCATGGTTGCTGCGCATTTTATGCATTGGCAGGCGTCAAAATTTGAAGATTTCAAATGTAATATCCTTTATACAGCATGTTACAACTGACTGACTGCAATAACAGTATAATTACGTAATCAGCGAGCGCCTTCATGCAAAAAAATAACCATACATAAGAGCATTAGAAGCACCAACAAACATGGGAGACTGTAAAGGAGAAAGAGTATCGCCAAAGTTCTTAGAGAAGACAAAAAATATTACTTTAACGTTACGAGAATCGCCGGCTGTGCGGCTGCACCGTGTGCAATGACTTCGACCCTTGGGGCCTCCTACTCAGTATCTAAGGAAATAGGGAAACGGTAAGAGTTTAATCAAAACAGCCTTTTTTTTTATTCTCGAATATTGGGGTCATATTGTTAAAAGTGACGTGAAAGCATCCCACATATGGTTTCGGGCATTTGATTGTCCCATGACGCATGTACGGCAGTCTCTAATTAGACCAACAGATTCATATGCGAAATTACATTTGCTCATGTGAAACAAATAGCTAGAATATGGACATACCCACTCTGATAAGGAGCAGTAATGCTGAAGTTATTTCGACTTACATTTTATATCTATTCAACTTGAATTCCTCATAAGATGGAGAGTTATGAATAGTGCCTATGGTCGAGCAGAAAGTTCTGGGAAATTTTCGAAAGCATTGTATTTATAGACAATAAAAACAATAATAAGTATTTGAAGTAAAGACCCGTCGTTCCTAGTTCTGAGGTTTCTTATGTGCAAATTAACAACAAAAACTATAATAACTATCCTTCAAACTATAAGCCAACATTGTCCACAACTTTCTGTTATCGTTCTGCAAGATTGCGGATCTGCTCAAAGCACAATTGCGGCTTCTTTGAAACAAAGATCTCTTGAAATGCTTCTTTAAAATCAATAAGTGATTCAAATCGACGGACATTCAAAAAGTGTTGCATTGATCAAAAGAGGCCAGACTCGGATGAAGCAGGTGTAGGGTGCGACAACTCGGCATCTAAAGCAGGTTGAAAGTTATTTTCATTCAAAACAGATGGCTGGCCAGAACGAGTCATGCCTTCGAGGTCAAAACTGCCTTTCTAGATGTCGTATACCATCAGCCCACAGTCGATTTTGACGCCTGGTCGATTGCATCATGCATTCCAAGCCCCTTAGGGAGTGATTTGGCGGAGGTTCTTCTAAAGCCGAGGCACTAGAATCAAGAAATTGAAAGAATGACATTAATTGGGAAGGGTGCGGAGAAACAATATACTCAATAAAAGCATTCACAACGAATAGTTTTTTTTTTGCGAATCAACCATGATTCTATTTCTAAAAATTCAATGAAAATTCTTACTTATAAGCGATTGCGAGATAGAAAAAGAGCGGTGTGGCTATTGAACTCGACCCAGTGTGACTACCAATATCTATGTAAGAATGATTGGTTGTCGACAACCAGATCTATTTGGCTCTTAATAATTCGAAGGCCCCGAATAATCACCTGCATCACCTGCCGCTCAGAGATTTTATTGTGCTTAACTGATATTCCATTTTTCCTATCGTGTGCAAGTGTAGCCCAGTGGGTCGTCCTCGCTTAAGGAATTCGTTGAGTATTATATCGTTCTTTGAGGGCTGTCTTGAGGAAATCAGATTATCGCATCCGTGGTCTTCCTGTGTAGCGCTTGATATCTCGAGCAATCCAGTGAGTATCGACTTTTGTCCATTCGCTGTCATTAAAGCGCATTACATGTCTGGCTCATCTGCCTGGCTTTTGGAGCGGTATCTTTAATTTTCGATCGTTGACGTAGGTCAAAACTTCAGATCCTTTCTCTTATTCACAAGGTACGAGAAACTCCTAATATGTTATGGGAAAGCAATGGAATAGTTTGTACGAAAGGATATGTGGAAAGGCTATTTATGAATAGAAGAGCACAAATGAAAAACTGATCTCACTCGCTGGAGAGGATTTTTTGTTTCATAGGAGTGTTGGCAACCATTCAAAAGCTGAGATTTCTGACTACAGTTCCACGTTGCCAGTCTTTCGAAACACCCTGTTATGACGTCATGATCTCCACACAAATAAACTTCGTAAGAGAGAAAATTACTTTTTGACTTTGTCCATCATACTTCTAGCAGCCGTTCGACATTATTTAGCTACAATTTCTATACCCTTAATCGTTTCTATAAAGTTCTATAAAGACCTTGCTAGAGCTCGGTAGTAACGAAGATAAAATTACTTTTCACCTT